TCTATTTGCAGCTTCTCATGATGCCAAAAGGCCGGTCGGGACACCTACGAGATCCTGTTCAGCCTCTGGTTCCCACATTGGACCTGCAGGTTCAGACTGGCTTTTGAACCACCCTATCAAATGGTGACGCAGTACAAAGGGGGAAGAAAAGAAGAGTGGAAGAGACCTTTGTATGGCAGAGGACTCAGATGACTGAATATCTCTGCATTTTCAAATTAAGAGGTGCTGTTGACTAGTTCCAGCTGTTCCTGCACTGGTGGTGTGCAGGCTGTCTTGACTGCAGTCTGAGACCTTGTCTTGCATCTTCAAGAACACAAATCAACTGATGATTGTGTAATAAGGTGTCACGCTAGAGGATATCATAGGCAGAAACAACCCAGATGTCCCAGGAGATCTGCACTGAGGTTTTTCCACAAATGTTTCTCTTCCTAAATCTCCTTTTTCTGACTCATGAAGATCATGTCCAGATCTTGTAAGGAAAAGGGTGTTTTCAAGATAAATATTTAGCTTTCCCTCTCCATATTGTTGGCCCCTCATGCAAGAGTGCAGTGAAGGAGACATGACCACAAGTATCCAATTTATACTTGAAGTGAGAGATACTCATCTTTTTCTTCTGTTCGTGCCACAAATGCTTGTAGCTGCAATTACACAGCACAAACATTGCTCAGCATTAATCTTCTTTTTCTATGGCAGTCCGTTCACAAATCCCAGAGTCCATCTGTCTTTTACCTTCACTTTGTTCCTTGATGGTTTACCTTTCATGATTCAGTGATCCATGGTAAATCAACTTTTAATAGTAGGGTTTTGGGCAATGGATGGCTGCTCCAAGAAGAGACATTTTTTCTCTGTTGCCTTGGCATCCATTGAACTAGTGACTCTTCATATCAAGTAGATAAAAAAGTGTGGACAAAATTACCTTGTTACACAGCAGAATGAAAGGTGGTAGCCCATCTTAGATTTAAGAAGCTTAAATACCTGTAAATGTGAATTCAAGTGACTTTGGCATTCCCAATTAGGGAAGAGGGTTGTCCTCTGATTTGCAGGACATTTTACAATTAAAAGTTTACAATTAAATGTTGATGTTGATAGTGAGATGTTGGTGGTCTGGCCTTGTCAGCTCTGTCGGTCTTAACTTAGATTGTAGCTGGGGTGACTGCTTTATCTCTCCTAGAAGGAGAAAGCACTCTAATTTTTCTCTAGCAGTGTAGGTGCAAACTGAAGATGACTTCTGAATGATACCTCTGCTTTTCTTTATTTCTTTGACTTCCTGTCTTGCTGGATATTTTTTTAGTTAAAAGAACTGTGTGGTTCCACAGCTGGTAGCAATTCAGCCGAGAAATGAGCCAGTATCAGCCAAGACCTGTTTCTGCACAGCAATGGATGACTTGGACAAGCTCTTTCTCAAAATGTAGACTAGTTTTTATAGAAGAAGGGGACATTTCAGCTTATTGTTCAACTGTCTTCTATCAGTGCTGTCTTAGACCATGGTACTTACAAGTTCACAGGGGCCCAATGAAGGCATTTCATTGACAGGGAATACTGTACTTAATTAATATCTGAATCTGATTGTTTCCAGATATGAGTATTTGTCAGATCTCTGATCAGTAATTTTGTAATTCAGTGGATATGAATGACTGAATGTGCTATTTTGGTTACCATTTTATCTGCAGTGGGGTGGCTCAAAACTTGGTCTGTGTATATGGTGGTTGCAGTGTCTGTCACAGGCAGTGTGCCTGGGGGACCCCTCTGGCTGTCTTCAGTCTCTAGGAAAAGCTTTCTGGAAATTAACTTGCCCATTGTCATCCATGTTGCCGTACCTCTTAGGCAAACTAATGTTTCTCCATCATGGGCGAAACCAGAAACTTTACTCTCTCTGCATTCAAGGACCCAACCTTGCACTGAGCATGATCTCCCTTTGAGAGGACTGATGTGCACAGTTATTCTTTTCCGATACAGTCTTATTGCTCTGCTTTGTCAGATCTCTCCCATCTGCCCCATTCAGCTGTTAGAGAAGAATCTCTGCAAGAGATGTCATCCATGAGCCTGCTTGCTTTTCTTTTGACCTTCTTGATAGTCAAATATGCCTTGGTACTGTGAGCTGACAAGAAACGGGGGTGTGCTCCAAGCTGCATAGCATATGTTGAGAGGAGCTGACCATGAGATGGGAATGGATCTTTGCAAAGTTGTGTCCAAAAAGCCTGGACTTGGGTGTTTGCCCTACAGGCATAGAATGGGTGCTTTGATGGTTTGGAAGTCCTAGAGATACCCAGGCAGTGACAGAGAACTTCCCTTTTCCGTTGAAAACCCAACATTTGTTGGTTGTTCTTCCATGATAACTTCAGATGTTTGAAGAGGGTGTATTTCAGAAATCAGCTGTCTTAGGGCACTTTGGGCTGGCGATGACCAAGTTTGGTTGTAACTTAATCAAGATGAAAAGGTGTAGGAGGTCACTGGTGCCTCTCTAGAATTACTGTTGACTGTATTTAAACTTTGTTCTTTGAGCTGGAGGCTTCTCTAACCACAGCCAAGTGCTTGTTTGCAACACTTCACCCAATGGCTTAGTAGTTAAAAAGTAAGACTGCCCGGAAAGGGCACCAGATGCCATTTTGTTATTCGTCTGAGATGCAGTTTGGTATTTGCTTAGGAACTTTCCAAACACTTTATACCTGTGGGAAAGTATTTGTAAGCCTGAGGATAGGATGCTTTTCACTATGTTGTGTCACAGTGATGGCACACAGGGTCGTGCCTTAAAGGAGCCAGGTAAGCTAACCTAGAGACAGAAGGAGAGGCTATGACACAGCAGAAACGGGTGGATTGGGAGCTGCCTGTACTGAAATCATCTGATGGTGATGAGCTGTCGAATACATTGTGCCCAGACGAATAGCCTAGTGTAATGTAGTCAAACTGTGGTTGCAAAAGAAAGTCTCCTTTATTTTTAATTATTAATTCTGTAGATTATTAATTCTGTAGATTGCTATAGCCTTAAAACAACATTAAATTTGAATTGTGTTGATTGCACTTTCTTGCTGCAAGCAAGAGCTCAGACCTGAGGAGAGTTAAAGCAAAGAGAAATAGCTCGTGCTAAAAACAGATTAGGTTACTAATACTTTAATTAGAAAAATTTAGAATATGTTAAGCTGTAGAATTGTAGCACTTGGAGTATAGTATACAACAGCAAGTATCTGATTGCAGTAACTGCTTTTTTAGTAGAATGTTTAGTCTCATCAGTTTAAGGCATGAATAGTTTCGATTCTCTTATCAAACACAGCTGTATCAAAAGAAAAAGCCCTATGGAAAATAAAACTGATTGAATAAAATTAGGTCCGACGTTCAACTTAGTGGTGTTTCTGTGACTGTGATTTGGTGTATTCAGATTCATATAGGAACCCTGAGTACTTAAAATAAAAAACCCAAAGAAACTGGTATTTACAAATATTCCAAGTCTCTCTTGGAATCTCACTTGTAAACATAGAAGTGTGTAAGTACCTGAGTAATGAAAAGTTTTTGTTTGATCACTTAAGCATGACTACTACGTGTCTTTGAAATGTTGTATTTAGTTATCTTGATCTTGTTGCTTGGTTTTCTCTCCAAATCTCTAAAATGAGAAATTAACTATGTTCATGTTTCTAATTAGGATTGGAGTTGTTGCATCTGTTTCAGTAGGGAAAATGAGTGGAATTAAAAGTTATGATAAACTTGCATACAGATAGGAATTTTCTTTGAATTAGTAAGTAATAATATATATTAACTTTCAAATCTTTTTTTCTTAGTGTGTGTGGGTTTTTCCTCTGGTTTTCCTGGCCCTTTGTATTTTATTTTTTTTCTTCTAACCATCTTTCAGAGTTTTGATCAGTTAAGGTTCTGTGGTAGTTAGGCCTTTTTTCTTTATTTGATAAGAATAATAGTCTTACCATGTGATGGCTGTCTCTGTCTGTCCAGCTACTGGAATTCTGTAAGTAACAAGATAAACTTACATATTGTCATTTAGAAGCACTATCTAGATTCTGAAACAAAGAGTTTCTTTTAGAGAAGTCTGTATTTGCATAGGTAATTGAATATCTGAACCTTCCAGGCTGCTGGGAACATCTGTTTCTAAATTGGTGAGTGGAGGTGTTGTTTTGTCAGGGTTGATAATTAGCTAACACTTAAATACCTAAGTTAGCAGCCTGGACAGTGCTAATGGTACTTTGTCAGAACTAAACCTCGTTCAGGCTCAGATCCCACACCTACCTGAGTCAATATACATATTTGCGTGGCCTTCAGTAGGCATCATGTGAACCCCTCAGTACATGTGGCAGCCACGTACATTTCCAGTGTACCTGTTATTAAGCATATTTGTATCCCTCACTTCAGAGGATGACAGGGCAGGGAAAACTTCAAAAAGGGGAATATTGTTATCCATGAAACATAATCCTTCAGCTGTTGTGCTTTTGTTACCTGTTTTAGAAGAGGAATAGTGTTCTGCACTCAGCAGATTGTCTTTGTTCCTTTAAAAGAAGTTTTCTGTTTTTAGGCGGAATATGATGAGCCCAGAATTGATAGTAAACTTAAAAAAAAGCAACTTTGGATGGATGTTTGTTACAGAATGGCTTTTCCCAGCTGTCTTTGGCTTGCGTTTGCCTGAACAGACCTCAACGCTGTCATGCAGTCAGCCGGCAGAGGGTAGTATGCTCATGGAGACGTTGCATTGTCGGCGTCTCCTGTCACTGATACAGGTAACAAAAAAACGTCTGGGTATCAGACAAATTGGCTTGATTCAATGGTCTTTTGAAGCCATCTGATACCCTACTAAACACTAGAGATGAGTTGCTGAGACGTAATGACTATCTGAAAGTCTGAATTAGCCATGTGGTGACTTTTGACCAAAACTTCTGGGGAAAAGGTTGTTGGATCCAGGGTAATGACTGAGATTATGGTACTCCCATTCTATAACAGATGAAATAAATACTGATTCTGATAAGTCTCATCTACCTAACTTTATTTTTCTCCTTCTCCCTCAGTGTTGGACCTGCTGTTGCCATGGGTATACTAGTCTTCATACTCGCTGGTCTCGTTGTGCACTGTGTGTTCTTGGTCTCCATTTTTGACATCTACTTCAGCTCTCCCCTTGTTCACGGGATGACTCCTCAGCAGACTCCACTGCCACCTCCAGCAAAACGTCTTGTACTCTTTGTTGCTGATGGTCTGCGGGCCGATTCACTGTATGAATTGAACTGCAACGGTACACCCCAAGCACCTTACCTGCGGTAAGTCCATCTGAAAACACTGCTGATCCAGAAGATTTTGCTTCTGAAGGCAGCTTTGTGTAACGGTTAAAAAAGAGCAAGTGGAACAATGGCAGCTCTGGTGGCTCAGGTACTGCCTTCCCTCTGCTTTTGAAGTGGCAAACTTTGCAGAGCTACACTCTGCAAAACGGCATGAATTTCAGTTGGTGTCCCCTGTTGTCAGTAAAGCTGATAAAACATGAACAGAGTAAATTGAGTCAATATTGTCCTCCAAACAAAAACTGCAGCTAGCCAGTAACTGAGAGGAGTGTGAACTTTCTCCATTCCCATCAGTATGGTATCAATTCTGAAGCCTAACAGAGTCGTTAACTTAAACTGCTTCCTGGATGTTCAGTTCAGGAGTAGCAGTTCATTACCATGTTTGTCTTCTAATTCTAAGGTAGTGATGAAGCTTTTTAAGCAGTCATTAAAAAAGATGGCCTGAATGGATCTAACAGCAGGCTGCCACTTCCTATTTGTTCTGCCCTTCCTGCTTGTGTGACCCAGCTGCCTCCCTTGTGCTCTCTAGTGTGTGTCTGATTGCTTAACGGCATGATTTGGTTTAAGATTGTGAAAAACTAGTACTGCCAAAAAAGAGTGTTAAAAGTGAGTGTTAAAGAGTATTAAATCCTTGAGTTCTTAAAACTAATTTTCACCAATCTTCTTTGTTTCTTAGAATCATTTAGGTGGGAAAAACACTTTAAGATCATGGAGTCCAACCGTTAGCCTAGCACTGCCAAGTGCACCACTAAACCATGTCCCTAAGTGCCACATATAAATGTCCTTATATCAAGATAATTATTTATTCATGAGGTAAATAGTTTCTTAGACTAAAAAAAGTAGACAGTATTAAATAAGACTACTTTTGTGTAATAGCACTGATTTGGCTTGAGTATCAGAGCAAACCTGAATAATCAATGATCTGAAGCTGTTAAGGTGTTTGCAGTCTGCTGCAGAAATCTGAGGAACCCTTGCTACAGCACTTGCCAGTTTGTATGGGATTACTTGCACCTGCTTCTCCTGTTGTTAGTGTTTTTGAAAGGTGCTGTCTGCCACATCAGTGTGAGTTTTCCATGTTGTCTTGTGGACTTCACACTTCCTCCAGAGCAGTCTCTTCTCTTAGCAGTAGAACTGTTGGTCTTCTGCACCATCAACAAGGTGTGAATGCCATAATGGCCTCATCACTAGAAGCAGTGGTGGGTAGTAGCTAGGAAAGAGTTATAATGGATACTTCTGCCATTAAGTGGTTTGAGGTTTTCCTGTTTCAGCCATTCAGAATTATCACACCTATCTAGAAATAAAAAGTTAAACGGTGTCCAGTTTGGTAAACTAACTTGTCCAGTGTGGCGAAGTTGCACTTTTTCCATCTCTGCTTTACCTTCTTTGTGGAGTTATGGACCTTCTATTTAAAAAATCTGTAGAAGTAAAACACTGTCACCTGTGCTGAAAGTACATGCAGGAATGGAGGCGAAGAGCTGCCTTGTAACAAGCAAAGATCACTGTAGGTCACTGAGTGGAATAAAATGCCAGTAGAGATTTGAAGTGTTACCTGTGTTTGTCTCATTGTCTCTCATTCTGCATATAAATACATATGTGTGTGAGCATGTGTATGTGAGAGACGATGAAAAGAAAAAAACATGTGGCATGTTGTGCCTTCTGAAAGGTAGAGGGTCAGGCAATCCAGGGTGTATCTGGCTCTATGACATATACTGCTACAATTTTGAAGCAGGAGGCTCAGTGTTTTGTTACCGAACATTTGAGCTACACGATTTCCATAAGTTAACTTTGTTAACAGGTTGACAAGATCAGACGTTGGTTGCTGGAAGTGTTTCCTTTTTTATTCTGCCAAGTTATTTCTGTCTGAGTTTTCCTTTTTCAATAATATTAACCCAAAGTATACGCACTTTAATATTAAGTTCACTTTTTTGCACATTCATTCCTAAGTGCCAAGGGTTCAGTCCCTTATCCATGCTTTGTAGTAGGGGGCAATGTAACAGCCAGATTACTTGTCTCATCCAGGTGGAGCACTTTGGAAACTACTGTGCTGTTAATGAGGAAAGATTATCTTTAAATGAGCAAGTACCTTTCATGTAGCAGTGTGCTATAAATAGAAACAAAGTTTTAGTAGGTACATAAAACTAATAATAAATATCCATTAGGCTTGGAGCAGATTGCTGGTTGATACATGCCAAGTACCTAGTCTTTTCTCTCACAAATATTCTTGAAAGATATGTTTTTCAGCAGTGTTGTGATAGCTGTGAGGGACGGTAGGTGGTCTCTGAATTGCTGTGGTGGTGGTGGGGATTTCGGGGAAGTTGTTTTCATCCTGTCATGTTTCAGCCATGTTACTATACTTATTCGTATTTATCATTGTTATTATGGGTAGCTAATGCTTATACTGTCAAGGAAATGAATTTTTTTAAATGGTTCTTCTGAGTAAAAGGCTTTGAAATAATTTGAAGTAGCTAAATGAATTTTGGACAGGTAAATGACAATATCTGGCTGTATTGTCTTTCTGCCTGGTATGTGTTATTGTTGACTTCAGATCCTGTGATACAACCCCACAAAAGCAAAGGTAAAGGATTACTTTCCAAGTCAGTAGAAATCATATCATAATTAAAACAATTTCCTACCTGTTGTGAAAACAAAGTGTGAGGAGGGCCAAAAGTGTTCTTGTCTTTGTCTTAATCTTCAGCTGATGCTAGTGCAATGCATTTTGATCAGACTCACCAGTGAGAATAAATTAGAAACCACTTTAACTAATACTTAAATCCTTCTTCAAATTAGTACTTTATTTCAACACAACTTGTCTTAAAACCTAGCTGAGATGAGAGCCAGGAATAACATGTCAGAGTGTTATATCATCTTCTACATTTTTAACTGTAATATTTGGGCTATTCCAAATAGTCCTGTGAACTTTCAAGTAGGCTGGAGAATGTGAGGTGTAAGATGAGTTAAAAAAACAAACAAGCAAACTGTGAATCCCGCAAGCTTAGAGTGGAGCCTGGAATTTTAGGTTGTGGTTTGATTCTTACTTCATCAGTGAGAAATATATTTAGAGCTGAGTGTACAGATCTTGTAATTAGCAGTTGTGTAAAATCTCTGTTAAAAATGAAGTTACAAGCATGAACTTAGAATCTACTTTTGCTAAACACATCCAATAAAAATATATCATATTTTGTAGCTCATATCGTGAACAAAAAAAAAGTTTCCCAGTAGATTTGACTCTTAAAAACTACTTTGAATTTGTTCAGAAGATTCTGCTGCTTTTTTCCTAAACATTAGTATAAGGTCTGTCCTGGTATGTTTTGTTTTCTTTCTTTCTGCCCTTGCTCTGACAATGGGCAGTGAATCTTTCTCTTCTTCCAGAAGATGGAGACAAGAAAACAGCATATGGTAATAATGCCTACTGCTTCCTCTAGGACAGGCTCCAGCTGTTCATATCTTCAGCAGACAAGAGTAATTTATGAGGCTGTTTCTTACACTTGGGCTTTGCCCTCCATTTTCTTTGCCTTTTATCTGTTATAACTTTTGTATGTGCATAATCCCTAGACAATTTATGTATTTCTGTATATGTGATGAGAAGGTGTTCTTCTTCACTTCAGTGTAATTGCAAAATATACAAGGTTTACTTACATTTTCTCCACGTTGCTGAAATGATTTGCATCTTAGGTTTACGTGGTTTTTTAATTCTGTTGATGCTGGCTTTCAGTATTCAGCACAGATAAAGGCAGATATGGTCACAAGAACTAATTATATTTGAGCATATTTAATGAGTAAGAAAAGATGGAACTAGACACTTTCAAGCTAGATGGAAAGAACAAAGAAAACTAACACTAGGCAGGAACAATTTGTTTTGGGAGAAAAAAAGTAAGCTATAGCAGAAAGCAGCAGAAAAAAATGTTAATTCTAAGTGTATTAGAACACCAGCTAAACTCATCTGTTTGCAATGCTGATGGGCCACAATAGTAATGTTCTCTGTGGGGTGCTATAATATAGAACTACTTGCAGGTTAATGTTCCGCTTGTTTTGTGGCACAGCAGGCAGTAGTGAAAATCTGGTTTAGTCTGGGTTGTTTTTGCATTTCCTGCCTCACATCTACCTGTCACACTTCTTATCTGCACTTCATTGTACTTTCAAGAAGTCATAAGCATTAACTGCCTTGTATCCTGTTTTCAGGGGTATTCTAGAGAATAATGGCAGCTGGGGAGTCTCTCACACCCGGGTCCCAACAGAATCCAGGCCGGGGCACGTTGCGCTTATAGCTGGATTTTATGAAGATGTCAGTGCAGTTGCTAAAGGTATGCCAGTCCTAAAGCTTTGAACACTGTCCTCTAAAATAAGGTGTTTCAGTGATGTGCTGGGCGTCTAGATGATTACTGATAAATACCTGCATAGTGGTTTGTATGCCAAGATTATATGGAAAAGAATCCTTTTGGATGGATTTCCCACTCAATATTGATAGCTATGAAAACAGCTTACATAATAGTTTGTAACACAATAAAATTTAGCACCCTGAGTCTAAAAGCAGAAGTATCTTATGGAGTGACCTGTTCATGTAACAGTGTTTTTAATTATCATTTGGGATGTAATGGGAGATGGCTAAGTAGATCTCGCAAACAAGAAGTGAACTGGAGCATCTTAGCTGAACCATTGCTAGGCTGAGTTGGAGAATCAGTAGCAAAATAAAGCGGAAAACCCCAACTATGCGTTTTGTCCAGAGCTAGCTGCATGCTTAGTGGTTAATAATGTTGAACAAGCCTTCACATTACTGACTTGGTCTTTTGTGTGGTCCTCTGCCTTGCCCCAGGCTTCCAGGCCTGAAACACTTGTAATGTTGTGTGTTGTTTTTGGAAAGGGGAGGTAAAAGGAATTACTTGGTCTTGTCCATGTTCCTAATAAAAAAGTTCTTCCTTCTGACATCTGCTACAAATGCAGGATTGGCAGGAATTGCTGTTAAGAGCATCCCTTTATATTTTTGTCAGCTGCCTTGTCATGGAAACAGATCTTGAAGGTTTTATTGTGATGAGTTGGAACGTGACTGCTGCAAATACAATATATGAGTGTGTAATTTATTGCCTAAAATGCCAAACGCTGAGTTCAGACAACAGGGGATTTAGAGTTCAGGAGAATTTTAGCTGTTTAGAAGGTAAACCAGCTGTGTTTTTGTCTGTTTGAATACCTGCATAATGAGATTGGCTTAGGTTTTCAGATCACTTTTTAATGAATGAGGGACTAATTGCAAACATAAGTTGAAATGGAGGTAAAAGCAAGACTTGCGAAGTGGAGTTCATTATGAAATAATATAAGGGAAACTTTAAAAAAAACAACATTTTTCATGGACTATCAGTCTTAGCAGTCAATGACATCTTCTGACAACCCCATCTAAATCCAGGTATGTTTGTTTAATAGGATGGAAGGAGAATCCAGTGGAATTTGACTCTGTTTTCAATGAAAGTAAATATACTTGGAGCTGGGGAAGCCCAGATATTTTGCCCATGTTTGCAAAAGGTAAGGTTAAATTTTGTGAATCTTTTAACACATAGTTACCAGGCAGTAAAATAGAGATGCTTGCAATTTTTGAGTTAAAGAATGTGGATGAAGTATTTCCAGTTTGTATATTTGTGTATACCTGATTTCTAGTTTGTGATTTCAAGACTGGGTGGAGAAAAAGAAGCAAGCTTTTAAAGAGGACATCCCTATTGACTACTCATCCTTTTAAATAGGCCTTGCCTAATTGTATCAGCATACTAAAGGAAACACACCCTTAGTTAAAAGGACTTAATATTTTTTTTCTTTGGTTGAGGTTTAAAGTTTGCAAGCCTGCAGCTGGAGTTTTTCTTCCTCTGCATGCAGCTCCCAGTGAGTTGGGTGATAGAACTGCAGCCATGCTTTTTGAGTGTCTGAGCTAGAGAAGTAGCTTATTGTGGGTTACCCTGCTTCTACTCCAGAACAATAATGTGTAAAGGGAAGAACTATATGCAAGTGGGAACTGCCTGGTACTATTCCTGAAGCTGAGGTCTTTTCCCCATGGTGTACAGTGTGTTAAAGTCTTGTCAGCCCAGTGCAATTGGTCTTTGAGCATGCAGAGATTGCTGAGCAACACTGCAAGCATTTGAAGGATCTCCAAGTTTAGTTTCAGTTTGTTCTTGGAAGAATGAGGGCAGATATACCCTTTCCCATAGTCTGAGAGTAAAGCAGACTGACTAGGGGCATATGCTGCTGTTTTGTTCTAAGTATTGGCATTGACAATCCACAGGATTAAATGCCACGCTGAAAAAGGAGCTGAGGATGTGGCTGCTAAGGGAAGTAGATATTAGTCCTTTGCACCCATGTTGCCATTCGTTCCACAGGTTCCCTTTCTCTTGGAAACTAGCAGCAAGGCTAGGGTCATTTTTTTACCTTGAGTATGAAGAAGGGTATCATCAAGACCATGGGGACAACGAGGACAAACCTTTATCAAGGTTATTCTGGACAGACAGACCTCTCTGTCTCCTCTTCTAGTTCTTTGTTCCTACAGTGCACCAAGAAAAATCCAGAATTTCTCACATTCCTCACCTGGCTGTGTTTGATGACAGCTCTCTGATGCCCACATTCTGTCAGCTCAGTGTCTGACTGTCCTTGTGCCTTCATTGTTTTTTCCCCTCTTTTGTGCCTGCAAAATTTGCTAGCAAAAGTCTCCTGCTGGTCTGGACTCTGACCCATGAAAGGCTTGTCAGACACAGGACCTTCCCCACTAGTGGAGCGAGAGCTTTGCTTTCCACAGGATGTAAAAGTTACTGTAAGATGGTGATAACTTGACCCCTGATCCTCATATTTGAATACTGATGCTGAGGGCGAGATGATGTGCCAGACAAGTCTGCAATAGGAATAGGTGGTATCTGGGGTGTGAGTTAATGGCACCTCCAGTTATTTCTATTAGTGTAATGGCAGCACCGGACTCAGCAGAGCTCTGTGCTTACTTCTAAAGAATGTTTTCATCCCCAGCTTCCTTCTATTTCTCTATCCCATCTTTGCTTCCTCATCCCCAGACTTAAAGAAAGTATTGGGCGCACTGTTGCCTGCCACCTCTCAAACAACAGAAATAAAATAACATTTTGTAACCTTTTGCATAGTAGGGTTCTTAATTAAAAAAGAAATCATCAATTATTTTATAAGCTATGCAGGCGCTCCAAAACTTTCCTAGTATGGCTTAATTTTGTCACTGTTTCTCTTTATAGCAATGCAGGGTTGGATGGGTTGTGGGTTTTTTTTCCCCTCTGGTAGAAATGAAAAATGGGTAAGTAGTAGATGTGTTCCTTTGCCTGGTCTGCAAACTGCATGCTTTCATTTGGCTTCTTTGGTGTGGCAACTCTCAAAGACAGGTCTTCTCAGGTTTGCTGTGATGCTGTGGAAAAACAGTACAGCACTCTATCCTCTTAGACCATCAGTCATCCTGACAGTGATGGCCAGGGTTTATTTCTTCTTTTG